CTGTAACCCCCTTTGCCCTCACTGCCCTCTCTTTCTCTTGCCCCCTCCCAGTTTCTGGCTTCTCTCCTTGTCCCTCTATGTCCCTCCTTGCCCTTTATGCTCCCCTCCCCCCTGTTACCCCCCAACCTTCTCTCTCTCTCTGCCCCTCTCTTCTCTGCATCCTCTCTTGGGATTTCCTGGGGCCACAAGAAGCTGTAACTCCTCCAGGGTCTTCGGAAGCTGCAGAGCCTTTGAGGAGCTGTAGCTGCAGCCCTGACCCCCACACTGGCCCTGTCCTCAGGCAGAGCCTTGAGACTAGAAGAGCTGAGCCTCAGTCAGCCCTGGTTGTCCTCCAGGACAAGCTGAGGTCCGGCTCTGTGGGGCTGCCCTTTGCTCCTCCCCAGCCCATGGCCGTGCTCCTGAGTGGCCCCTCCGGTCACTGTGGGCTGGAACAAGACCAGCCCTGAGAGAAGGGAGTTGGAAAGAGACAGATGCTTGCTTGCATTGGGCCCCATGCCCAGGGCTGGTGTCCGGACTCAGGCTGAGTCACAGTGGCAGCATGTGGGACCGGCCCTCCCTTCCCAGAGCACACTGAAGAAACCCCATCACCCCCAGGGCCTTCTGCACAGTCAGGCTACCATGGTCCCCTCCCATCCTCAGGCTAGGATGGTCATGCCTGTCCACCACCCTCTGTGGCCCTTCTTCTCTTTCTCCCTTCCTTTGAGTCTCCCACCCCCTGCCAGACATTGGACTGGGATTCTGGAGACCTGTTGGGGCCCCAAAGTTTTCTGTGCCTTAGTCTCTTGGGATGGGGTTGTTTATAATTTTTGTGATTATAAGTAGATCTAATACAATTCTCATGCAGCTTTTCATATGAACATTAGGTATAAACATTCTACTCTGATAAAATATCTATTAATGTGATTGCTGTGTCAAGTGGTGTACTAGTTACATAATTTCATGTCAACTTGAAAAAACATACAAATTTCTGTTTCTGTTGGTGTTGCTGGTGCCCACGGATCCACCCTCCCTCACCGTGACCGCCTGGACCACACAGAGAAACCCTGCCTGCTCCTGCGCAGCCTCCTCCCCGCTGTGCTTGCTCCATGGTTGCAGCCAGTGTCAAGTCATCCTACTGAGAAGCTGCCTCTTCTTCACTGACTCCACCTTGACCCCGCATTCCATCCTCCTCCAGGGACTCCTCCTCCTGATGACGTGTCCAATGTCCAGGAGATAAAGGCTTGCCGTCCTAAGGAGCATTCTAACTAGACTTCTTCCAAACGATTCTGCTTGTTCTTCTTGCGGCACATGGTCTAGTAAAGCTTCCTGGTCTGCACCAGCACATCCACCCTTCTTCGGGCATCCTTACTTAGCGTCCAGCGCTGGCCTGATCTGAGGCCGCGAAAAGACCAGGGCTCGGGTCAGGCAGGCCTTAGTTCTCAAGTGGATGAGAAACTCCCAGTGGCTGAAAGGTTTTGAAGCATCACCATCAACACGTGAGCTTTCCACTTGCTCCGTATTCTCCTCAGCAAGTGGCAGCGTCAGCTTTTCACAAAGCTGTTCTCACAGAAACAGGCATAGTGGTTTTTAATTTGCATTCCCTTAATGACAAATGATGTCAAATACCTTTCTATGTACTTATGTGTCATCCATGTACTTAATAAAGTGTCTGTGTATGTGGTAGTCTGGGTACTTTAGAGAAACAAATCCACAGTAACTCATGTATAAGAGAGAGTTTTAGATAAAGGGTAAGTGCACATCAAGAAAACACCCCAACCCAGTGCTGCCCAAGCCCACAAGTCCAACATTAACCCATATGCCCAACACCAATCCATATAGTCCTCCTCCATCTCACAAAACAGACACAATGATGCCGACTGCAGGAGGAAAGCTGAGTCAGTGAACGTGTAAACGTCTCAGCACTGGCAGGGGTCTCCACACGGGTGCTCCAGCACCCAGGGCTGCATCGGTGTAGTAGCATTTTTTAAAAGTCCCGATTTTTGGAAAAAATGCCTGACAAGCTAGGGAATGGTCTATCTGGTCCATATAGACCAAATTTTAAATCAAGAACCACCACCCCCACCCCCCGGTCAATGTTGTCCCACTTTAAATCTGGTCACCTTATCATGTGTCTTCTCCTCAGGGATGTCTTGCAGGAAGTGAGCCTTGCCAGCTAAAGCAGGGAACTGGCTAAGGCAGCTGCACCCTGGTGCAACCTTCAGAAAACAAGAGACCCAAGAACTCAAAAGGCAAGGCTCACTGAGCCATTTATCCCTCTGCCCTTCAATTAACCCCACATGTGTTTATTGGCCAGGTTGGCACAATAAACTGACTACCCTCAGTGTAAAACTTTATTCCATTTAAAAACTTGAGTTGTTTTGTTGTGAGTTTTGAGAGTCTTTCATCGGATGTGATTTGTAAATCTTTTCTCCCAGCTCTGCCTTGTCTTTTCATTCCATTTAGAATTTCTTTTGAAGAGTAGAATATCTTAATTTTGGTGAATTCCAATTTTATGGGGGTTTATTTTTGCCTTTATGTCTGTTGCTTTTCATGTCAGAGCTAAGAAATCTTTGCACAACTGGAAGTCATAAAATTTGTTTCTACTTTTAAGTTTATGATCCATTTTGAAACCTGATTCAATTTTTACTTACAGTTCTTTTAAAAAAATTGTTTTGTTGGTCACACCTGATTTGTAATTAAGAATAGAGAACGATTTCTTTTGTGTCTTGATATCTAGTTGTTCCCACACTATTTGTTAAAATAAACCCCCTTTTTTTTCATTCAAATGTCTCTGTAACGTTGTCAAAAACAATTTGGCCTTACCTGGATGGGTGGGTATATTTCTGGACTCTACTCTGTCCCATGGATCTATAGAGCTCATCTCTCTGTAGTACCACACTGACTTGGGTAGTTTTATACTAAGTCTGGAAATCAAGTAGTGAGAGTCCTTTAACGTCATTTTTTTCTCGACATAACTTTGACTCTTCTAATTTCTTTGCCATTCCACATAGCTTTTTAAACCAATGTAATGATTATTAACAAAGATAAAATAAAAATTTGTTTGAGATTTTTATTGGACTTGTGTTAAATTTATCAATCAATTTGGGAATGATTGACTGTCACGGTGAGGGAGCCCCAACACGCAAAAGGGGCCTCAGTAGCGACTTTGTGATTGTGGAAAAGATGAATGACAGCAGAGCACAAGGGCTCATCATCCCATGTCAGGACTGAGAGAGTCAATGTGTTTTCCAATGGGGATATCTAATGGAGCTTACAGATAAGGCACGCTTACATATTACATAGGCAATGGGTAATATCATAAACGGGTAATATAATCAACAGGCAATGTGGGTCATCATCTTGATCTGGTGCTAGTTGACCTCAAACTTCTCTGAACCCTCCCCAGGGTAAGCGATCTCTAATCAGTATCAGCAAGAGAAGTCAACACAGAGTTTGCTACATTTTACAGTGTGTTGGCTATAGAACCTGATTTGTTTTATCTACAGTAAACCTTTAGGCATTTTGAAGTAGCCAGACACAGAAATGATTTGTTATATATGGTAGCTCCTTTATGACAGTTCTTTTATGAAGGGTTATTGGAGGGACTGTGTTTAGTCATGAGAAAGTATATGAAGACGGATTTATATCTCATATCTGGTCTTCCCCCACCTAGTCGGCTTTCCAGACCCGCATTGAAGAACGTGGATGATTTAGCTGCATGACACTCTCATCCCATCCCTCAGTTCAGCACAATTGACATTTACTGAAGCCAAACACAATCCTTTCAGAATAAATGATTAGGAAAAAAAATCTCCCCCTTTCCAATCTCTTCATTCTGAATATAAGCAGAACACAATTAGACCAATGAGCTCTGGGCACCCCAACAATCAGAACCAAGTGTGCTTTCAGATTCAAGTATTTTGAATACACCCCAATTAAATGAAAATCGAGACGCTAAACATTCATTCAATCCTTCACACATACTGTAAATAGTTTCAACCAACCAACCAACCAACCAACCGAACATTGACATTGTGTCCAAAGCAATACAACCCTAGATCCGGCTCCACCAGCCTCCCAGAAGGCCCCAGTTTGGGTGGCTTTTTGGTCTCTTGTCTTCTCTCACACCTCTCTCCATGCCCCCACCCCCACCCCCTGGCTCTGCCATCTCTGATTGTCATTTGCTTTCTTATGACCCAAAGTCAGCCCCCTCACTGCCTTTGCTTCCACTCCTAGGCCAGAGAATCCCCAACCCACTTCTTCCCCAGACTCACGCTGGCCCTCAGACCCTCCCCTGCCCACCCCCAGAGCCCCAGGTTCCTCAGAGGTGGAACTCTGCACCTGGGCCAGGTGGCTCCAGGAAGGGGCCCTTGCCTGGGCGGGATCTGCCAGGCTTCAGGTCAGGACGCGTCCCCTTACCCACCCCGCAGAGACAGACAGGACCACAGCCAGAAACAGTTTCAAAAGGTTTATTGGTCAGGCGTGGTGGTGGACGGCGCCGGGCAGTGGGACGCCCGCTGGGGGTTCAGTAGACCTCGGGTTCAGATTCCCACGGGCAGCTGCACCAGCGAGGGCAGTGACATCTGATTGGCCTCACGTGGCTCAGGTCACTGGAGAGGGCTCGGCGCCTTCTGTCCTTGGCCTTGAGGCACTTGGAGTCAGACACGCAGCTCTCTGCGGGAGGAGTGGGTGAGCCGCCGGCCTGCTGGGCCTAGAGCCCTCGAGTACCCCGCCAGGACTCGCCACCCGGGACCCAGGACCGCCCAGGGCCCAGGACGCCCCCGTCCACACCAGTCAGTCTCCCCCAGGCCTTGGCTACGCTTGGCACCAGCTCACTAGTGTTGCAGCAGAGGCCGGCGGCGGCACAGCGACCCCCGTTCCCGCAGGGCTTCTGGCCAGACTGGCAGGGCGACCGCAGGTCGTTCTCCTCCTGGCAGCGCAGCGCCTCGGTCGTGCCCACGAAGCAGCCCAGGTCATACCCGCAGCAGATGCTGGGCCCAAAGCAGCGCCCCTTGTCCCCAGGGCCACAAAGCAGGCACTGCAGGGGCAAGCAGGGGGTGAGGAACAGAGGGGCAGTGGATGAGGAGGGTCCAGGCTCCTGGAGCCCCCACTCAGTGGGGGTGAGTGTGTGCACAAACTATGAGGGGCAGAGGTTCACAGTCCCCCAGGCTCTGTTTCAGTCTCAAATTGGGTCCTGGGATGGGAGTGAAATGTCCCCTACTGCTCCGGAAACAGGTGGCTGAGGGGCAGCTCTGTGACAGCCCTCCCCAGGCACACTCTCAATCAGAGGGGGGGTCTCCCAGGGGCCACCACAGGTGGACATTTCCCTCTGCAGCTCTGATCCACAGTGGTGGAACCTCTCTCTTAGCTCGCTATCCTCTTACCAGATGCTCCTCCCCCTGCCCTGTCTCTACAGGTAGGTCCCTACCCAGTGTGCACAGCCCCACCCTCCTGAACACACTCTGGCCTTCTCCCAGGTCTGGTCTCTTCTCTTGATTGGCCCTTACCTGTCCCTGCTCACCCACCTGTGGGCTAACAGAGTGGGTGGCAGATCTGAGCCCTAGGCAGTGTCTGGAGTGTTCAAGAGCCAAGCAGAGGAGAGGGTGGCCTGTTGGGGCTGCCCACCTACCCACGTCAGGGTGCTGAACAGCCTGCAATTGGGCTGCCTGTGGCCCAGGTAAAAGTGAACTTCAGGAGCAGGGCTGGAGGTGCAGCAGGAGAGAAGTGGGCTGGTGTCTGCCAGAATTTCCTGATAGCATGCCCGAGTGGCCCCTCCACTCAGGAGCATCCAGAGCATCTCTCCTGTGGGGGGCTGGGGGCCTGTGACCAGCAGAGGCTGGGGCTCAGGGGCAGCCTGAATTGGGGGGCAGGACTGAGCTAGGAGGACTCCAGCGAGCCTCCCTGAGGAGCCCCGATGGCACAGAGGAGCCTGGCTACTCAGTTCTCCCTGACCGGGGCCCAAGCCCTCTTACCTCAAAAGTCTCTCTCAGGTTCCTGCATCCCCTCTCTGGATGGCACAGGACCTGGAATCCCAGTCCCTCCCAGCCCCCAGCAGGCTGGTCCCTGACCCACCCTATTGGTTTCTCTGCCCAGCCATGTCAAGTCTCCCCCTCCTGCCCAGCATTTCCCCTGAAGTCTGCTGCTCCCAGGACACCCGGGGTGGTGCCAGCGTGGGGCACCACACACTGGGGCAGCCTCAGGAAGGTCCGCGTGGACTGCACCTGTCTCAGGTCCTTGTCCACGACGGACCTCTTCTTGTCTTTTACGCAGTTCGGTAAATAGCAGGCAGAGGTGAGGGCCAGCAGGCCCAGGAAGCAAGCAAGGAGCATGACTTTGAACATCCTGATTCGTGCTGCTCAGCCAGCTCTAATGGGGTGCCTTGGCTGCCTGCTTATTTATGTGCACAGATGCTCCCACAGAGGCAGCCAACACCCCCACCCCTTGTGCTTCCCCAGAGACCAAGACTGCCAGCTCCCAAGTCATCAGCGGTGATTCAAAAGTCTGGGGACTCACGTGTGCACCATCTCTCCCAGTCAGGGACAGGGAGGGGAAGAGAAACCCAGGCCCAGAGGGATTCAAAGTAGAGGGATATCCTTCTATCACAATACACCCAGCTTTTGGACATCAGGGCCTGGGACCTCTTGGGCCTGGCTTGGGGGCCCTGGGGCCAAGGTTGGGGGACAGAGCCTCAGGAGCAGTTTTTGATTCCAGACCCATAACCCAGGGCCACACCAGCTGGCAGCTCTGAAGGAGCCTCTGCTCCCTCCCCTGGGGCCACCATGTGTCTCTCTGAGCTTGGACCCAGGAGAGTCACCCCAAGCCTCTCGGGCTGGACACCCACCCCGCTCCTGGGGGCTGCTGTCTTGTCTCTGTGAGATACCAGGATGTGCAGGGAAGCTCTGGAGATAAAGAAGGCTGCTTCTCCCTGCCAGTGCAGTGAGGGGTTCAGTCCCAGGAGGGGGCCCTTAGATGCTCCCTACCCTTCCCCACTCAGGAACTGACACCACACCTCTCAGGACTGTCCCCTGAGGGACTGTGAGGACCATCTGAGAGGCAGCGCTGAGTAGTGGTTCTTGAGGGCCACCAGAGCCCAGGGGCCTGGGTCTGAATCTGACTTCTGGGGCTACAAAGAAGGAAGGGAGCTAAGTCCTGGGTTCCAGCCTCAGACCTGCACTGAGTTGCTGTGTGATTTGGGGCAAATCAGACTTGTTCTCAAGATTGTCGCCAATCCATCGCATCTCAATGAGTCCTAAAGCAGTCAGATGCAATTTCCACAATCTTTAAATAACAAGAGATTGCATGCCCCCAGATGAGAATCCAAATTACACAATGTTCTTTTCTCTCAGACCTTTTTAATCTTTCCTTCCTTCTTTCTTTTCTGAGAACAGATAACAGTTGGCTAATCTTAGCAGACCATCTTCTCCTCCATCCTCCCGGAGCGTGCGCGCGTGCGCACTCTCTCTCTCTCTCTCTCTCACACACACACACACACACACACACACACACACACTTTGGATGTTCTCTTCCTGTTCTGAGCATCACCCCAGTGCCTGCTGGGTAAAATCTCTGCTACTGTCACAAAGCTGGCTGGTCTTACTGTCACACAGAAACTTGCTCTTTCTCACCTCCCTCGTCCGAGGTCACTGCGCAGTGCACGCACACAAATTCTTCACACTCTGAGGAGGAGAGCAAGAGCCAGCAAAAGGTGTGGCAAGCCAAGAACTGTTGACCGAATTCAATCAAAGAACGTATTCTGACCAGGAGTAAACAACCATGGCCCTGCAGAGATGGTGGGCAATGGAAATGAATCTACAATGGCGATAAATTAACAAATAAAAGCAAAACCCGTACCTCTACGGAGACCTACTGCAGCTCCACATCTAATGCCAAAGTTCCTTTCAGCTCAATGAAGACCTAAATAGAATGAAATCCAATAGGGGGCTCTCGATTTAAAGTCAGGTCTCTGTGAAGTTGATTTGGTAACAGAAAGAAAGAAAACAAAGGCAGAAAACAGTTTCCAAGGTTTATTTCAGAGCTTCCAGGTGAAGTTCATGGGTCCCTAATTGGGGGCCAGAGACGTGTCGCGCCACCAGGAGGGAGGTGAGGAGTTTTATAGCTCAGGTCTCGGGGAAGGGAGTAACTGGGGAAATTTTCCTCTGTAACTTTGTTGTCTGCAGGTCCAGAGCTAAGCACAGTGTTCAAAGTTATCTGTAACAGTTAGTCTTCTGCAACTGGGCCTGAAGGCCACCGAAGGGGAGAGGTGGGGGGATCCTGGCCTCTCCTAGCATCCTTGAAGTGTTTCCACCAGCTCCCGGTACCTCTTTGCCCACCTGCCCTGCTAACTCCCGCTTCTGCCCGACAGTCTCTAGGGAAGGTTACATCACTCGAAAGAAATCATAAAGGAAAACACTTCACACCATTTCTTGTTTGTACCGTTTCTTGACTTTGTATATGTGTTATGCTAAGACCTAGTGCAAAAAGCAATGTTAATCAGAACAATCTCTTTGACAAAAAATTCCTTTCCAGATCAAAAGCTTGTGAAACTATCAGAGATGCAAGTCAAAGCCACGCTGAGATTCCATTCACCTCCACGAGGATGGCTCAGCTTTAAAAGGCAGACACCTTGGCGAGGAGGTGGGGCTTTGGAAATCTTGCTCAGTGCTGGTGGGGATGCACACTGGGACAATCATTTTGGAAAAACTTATGGAAGGTCCTCAAATACCTACACTGAGAATTACCACAGGACCCGGCAATTCCGTCCTGGGTATGTGCCCAAACCCTGAAGTGGAGACGCAGAGGCCTGTACAGCAGGGTTCAGTGCAGCACCAGTCACAATACAGTTGCCAAAAGGGTGGAAACAGTGAATCTACAGTAAATAGATAAATAAGATGGGTACATATACTTGTGCCTACAATGGAATACTACCCAGCCAGTAAGAATGATGTCTTCATACATGCTACCTTATGGGTGGAACTTGAAGACATTATGCAGATCCAATAAGTCAATCATAAAAGGACAACTATTGCATGATCTTGCTTACATAACATGACAAAGGACAACTGTAT